CTCCACTGAAGATTGAGTTAGAATCTCCCCAATCTGGAATAAAATAGGGCTTTTTTTGCAGACATTCTGCAGCTAAATGAAAGAAAGAAATCTATTTAATGATATTTTTTTACTAATTGAGGAGGTATTTTATATTTATTTCGCAGCATACATAAGGAAAAATATGTGCATTAAATTTCGTGATGGCATCATACTGCTAGAATTAATTTCAGGATTTTGCCAGAGAAAATTTCCTGAAATTTGGAAATATTATTTACTAACGATAAATAAATTTAGAGGGAAGAAGCAACATTAAATGATATGAATAGCATAAAAATAAAGATAATTGCTTAAAAATTGAATTAGAATAATCAGCGATATTTTAGCGAATATAGTTATAGCATTACACGGTTAGCCTAGATGACTGATTACCATTTTTTTATTTTACTGCAAAATGACAAGGTATTTATTAAAAAGGAAAAAAAAAAAAAAAGGATTTTGCAGTAAAATCCTAGTATACGGTACGGCCTTCGCATGATTTTGAAAACTGTCGCCAAGAACAAAATGACTCGTTTACTGCTCATCATCATGTCGCCAAATCCCGCTGTACCATACATGGAGATTATTCTAACCAAAGAATGTCTATGTAAAGAAGAAAAGGTTCCATACACGTAAATGCTATTATGCGGCTAGAAAGTGGAGGGAAAATTTGCCAAGGGATTTGGCGACGGAACCTGGCGGCCAGAATTTTCCTCTCTGCGATGTGTACAGGAAATTGAGAAACACGTGTTAAGAAGAAACGTTCTTTGACAAAAAAGAAAACTACGAAAATCCGTTTTTAAATTATTGCGATAAATCCAAGAAGAAACGTTTTATCAAAGAACATTTTTTCTTGGATTTTTTGCAATAATTTTAAAAACGAATTTTCGTAGTTTTCCTCCCCCCCTCAAAATAACTAATCCCTGAATTAATTTACTTGCGCCAAAAGATATTTTCTTTTCCTTTAGAGTTTAAAGAAATTCTAAACGATATTCATCTTATGAATTCTTGATAACGTGACCTTCAAACTTCGATACCGGTTTCGAGCTTTGGCGACAGATATATCGCGCATGCACAGCTGTTTCCCTCTATGATGGAACGGAGCCACGTATGTTGCAGAGAGGTTTTCTTTCTTTACAATACATATTTTTTGATTATAACCTTCATGGTACCGTATACTAGGATTAAACCCATTTTGTTTTATACGAGAACAGGTATTTTCTTTAGTTCATGCACTGCACATGCGATTCTTGAGGTTACTGGAAACCAAAAGTTGCGGGAAACTTGATTTGCCTTTCTAAAAGACAATCAAATTGGAGCTGCGAAAATTGGCTCTATGCCAGCTGCTGCCCGAATGACACTCATGTGATACACAATTCGCCAAAAAAATGATCCCTTCCGACGTCCGCGCAAAACTTGCATTTTTTGGCGGGATCGTTGTATGAAATTCCCTGACTTTTCCAGATTTTGACTAAAACACTTAAATTTCCTGACTTTTCCCTGAATTTTTTGGTCAATTTCCGAATTCCCTGACTTTTTCCGGTTTTCCAGGTAGCGTGGCAACCCTGTTTCAGACATAATTCATACAATGGCCTCTGATGCGGCAACGATGCTAAAATGTGTCTGCTTTCACTCATTACAGCATCAAAAGCTTTTTACACAAAGCTCTCTCCTCGTTTTGTTAAAAACCTGGAAAGAGAATAATTAGTCTCTTATGACCGGAAACCACCCTAGGGGGTTTCTGCTACACCTTTCTTCAAAGTTCTGCTGTCCATTTTGTCTCTGAACAAAACAGGAAGTTCTCATTAAGCACCTGGAAGTCCGAAGGGTGCATATGTCTGAACATCACAACTCTTACCCTCCCCGGGGGTGGGGGTGGGGTTTCAGAACTCGAATTCCTAGTACCTTACCATAGCAAGTCTTAATAATAAAACTAACTAATAATTATTAGCACTAATACTTTTTTTTTTCACAACACTGGGGTAAGTATCAAGGATAAACATAACAAGAACTATATTGAGGCCAGTAAAAAATACATATAATCAACATAATACTGAGAACTAAATTAATTATACACATACAAATAAAGAACATATAATTTTCTGAAAAGTGTAATATGCAATATAGTACATTCCTAAGTTTAATATTAATTATACATCTAGCCAGGCTGAAAAGGGAAACCTTTCAGATTTTTAATTTTCCGTTTGTGATAATCTCTCAACGGTAACCCAACACCTGGATGAGAACTACTACATTTGACATCAAAATAAACATGTACATTTAATTTGGCTTTAAGATCAGAAGAAACTACTTTATTACAAGTTGAATTTACGTCATTGATGAAGTAGCTATATTTAATACCCTTTGACCCTTCAGTATCAGGCACTAGTATAGATAAATGATGAACTGGGGATTCTTCTACTTTCCTTGGTAAATTTACACTACTCGGTGTCTTGGGCAATTCTCCTGCGGAATTTTTAGGCATTTGCAAACCCTTAGAGTCTGGTTGGTATGAAACGTCATTTAGCGTACCTACAGTTTCTTGTTCATGGCGAAACGAAAAGGAAATTCTTAACTTGTACACATTTCCCAAAGAGTTACTGTGATCGTCTAACGTGACTAAGTCACAAAATGGTTTTACAACGTCACTTTTCTTTTGTAGGTCCGTTACAAAAGAAAATTTCATTGTAGGCAGTGACAGTTCATTCACTTTCATTTCAGGCAGAGAGAAATTGGTTTTCTCTATCCTTTGTGTTTTAGACAAGACTTCACCCCTTTTTATAATGAGGGGAGAAACTTCGCTTGAGGGTTCGAGTTCGCCGCGTTCAGACTCCAGCGGACAACTTTTCCCCCTTTCATTCTTTGATTGACTCGGAGCTTGAGTACCTGTTTTCACCTGAAAGAAAAGTTTATCATGTTGATCTACTGCTAACTTTTTGGCAGTTCTGTTCCCTAACAAATAATGGCCAGGGTGCAATTCATTTCGAATGACCGCTGCTTTCGTTGTTACATGGCCAAAAGTTCCTTCTATTGTAACTGTTGAAATTCTCACTTACAACCACGTGATTTGCGCATGCACGCAGCAAAAACTAAAACAGAACTTTTTAACTGAACTTTGAGAACTCGTGATGGAGGTTTGAGTGAAACGTGTAATCCTTCTCTTCTGTGTTATATATATATTTTAGTTTAGTGATGTGATTGTAAATCAAATATCTTATTATTATCTTAGAAGCCTCTCTCTTTCTGTGAGTAGTGCATCGATGAATGAAATAAAACTCCCGATACGCCTTTGGATTAGAAAGAAGATCGACTAAAAGGTAAGCCTTTTTACCTTTTATTTTCTAAGAATTATTATGATTATACATTTTTTGGCATCCCGTGCCGCGAATGAAAGCGAATTGTTGATACTTGTTGAATTATTGAATATTAAACAATGACGGAATTCATCGATACATTGAAAAGGAAACGCGGCCACATAAGGGCTGCCGTTACAAAATTAATTGGCCGAATCGAAACTGAATTATCAAAAACAGAAGTGAATGCAGAGGAACTAGAAATTTCCTTAGAACTCTTAAATGAAAAATCGAACGAGTTAAAACAAATAGATGCCGATATAGAAAAATTAATAGACATAAAGGATCTAGACCAGGAATTAAACGGTGTTGACGAATATCGTGAAAGAATAACTACATTTAAATACAAAGCTAACAAAAAATTGAAAGAAATTAATATAGAACAACAAAAATTTAGTGTGTTAAGAAGCACTGAACAGTTAAGTGAAAGTATAGAAAACGTTAAAATCGAAAATCATAATGTGAAGCTTCCTAAACTTACGATTCCAAAGTTTTATGACGAGAGCTGCGAATGGCTGACATTTTGGAACACTTTTTCATCAGCCATACACCAAATAAAACACTTGACGCTATAAGCAAATTTAATTATTTGAAATCCTTTTTGGGAGGTACTGCTTATAACACCATTGACGGTTTCGATTTAACCGAAGAAAATTACGAAACTTCAGTTAAACTCCTCACAGAAAGATTTGGAAATAAAGATGTACTGATAAACGCCCATATAGATAAATTACTGAAAATAAGACCTCTAAAGGATTCTAATGACATTCAAAATTTCCGTAAGTTATTCAATTACATACAAAAACATATTCGATGTCTTGAATCATTAAATATGACCTCAGAAACATATGGAGCTTTATTAACACCTATTTTGCTTAAAACATTGCCTGCAGATTTGGTTTTGGAATATAATAAAACACTTCGAAAATCAAATTACGATTTGAATCACCTAGTGGAATTTCTTTCTCAGCAATTAATTGCAAGGGAAAAGCTTTGCAATCGAAAGAAGCACCGTCAATTTCTCCTCATACAACCCCCTCCCCCGACAAACAAAACGCGAAAGCAAGCTGTCAACTTGGCATGATAAACGGGTACCAGATGTATCGTCTGCCTCGCAGTTGCTGTCTACAAATGAGAATCAAAATTATAAACATTCAAACTGCATATTTTGCGATTCAGATCATGAAAGTTATGAATGTCGGAATGCGAGTCGTTTAACCTTAGATGAAAAAAAGCAAAAATTGCTGAATCACGGATTCTGTTTTAAATGTTTGAAACGGAACCATATTTCCCGCTTATGCAAAACCAAAGTTAAATGTTCCATATGCGGTAAAGCTCATTTTTCAATAATGTGTAACTCTCATGGAAATAATTCTACAGACATTATTGGGGATGAAAAATGATAAAAAAGACCGTGTTCTGACAAATAAATCTTGCATGCAGTTAGTAAATTTGCAAACTTTAGTAGTAAAACTTCGTGGGGATGGAATCGAAAAATATGTGAGAATTTTAATAGATAGTGGTTCCCAGCGATCCTACATTTCGAAGTATGCAGTTAGTATAATGAATTATAAAACAAGTGGTAAAGAAGAATTAATCCATGGTTTGTTCGGAGGAATTGAAAAGAAAGAAACTCATAGTAAATATTTAATTAGATTGAGTAGTCTTAAAGGTGATTATCACTGTAATTTTCAGGTTTTGGATCAGGATAAAATATGTACTGACATTCCTCAAATTCGTAGAGATACATATCTTATTGAACTGCGAAAACATGGAATTTATTTAACTGACATGCAGAATAAATCTGTGGATTTGATGTATGAAAAATCACCTTTAGAAATTCATGTTCCTTTAGGTGCAGATGTGGCAGGAAAGCTTCTAACAGGGAAGGTTAGACAACTAAAATGTGGGTTATCATGCGTACACACTAGATTAGGGTGGACAATGATGGGGAAAACTGAAAAGCGTGAGTTCTCTGATAGAACGAAAACTGTATTGTCACTTCATGTTAATGATGCTAAAATTTCAGATTTATGGTGTCTTGACTCGTTAGGAATAACGGATCCTGCTACAACCCACACAAGAAAGGAAATTAATGAAATCGCTAAAACATATTTTCGTCAGTCATTAAAGAGAGATAGTGACGGTAGATATCAGGTCTCTCTTCCTTGGATAGAAGGGCATGAGGTTTTACCTGACAACAGATTATTAGCAGAGAAAAGGTTAAAATCCTGCGCCAAAACTCTTCAGTCAAAAAACTGTCTGAAAGAGTATGAAAATATTTTTTACGAATGGGCTGAAGAAGGTATTATAGAATCTGTTGAAGATAAGAAAACCGAAAATTGTCATTACCTACCACATAGGGCTGTAATTAAGGAAAGTTCAACCACAAAGATTAGACCTGTGTTCGATGCCTCAGCGAAGGAAAGGAATGGTGTGTCCTTAAATGACTGTTTAGAAAAGGGCCCAAATTATCTGGAATTAATACCGAGTATTTTAAACAGATTTCGCCTAGCGTGAATCGCCTAGGTAAATACGGGGTATCTCAGATATACTTATCTCAGATATACGTAAGGCCTTTTTGCAAATAGGTGTCTGTCCTCGAGATAGAGACTTTCTTAGATTTCTCTGGTGGGAAGAAGGAGATTCCGAAAAATTGAAAATATATCGACATAAGCGCGTTGTGTTTGGCGTTAATGCCAGTCCTTTTTTTCTCGCCGCCACACTGAATTATCATCTCGAGAATGTTCCTGAACATCAACAAGAGGTAGCTAAGAAATTAAGTGAATCAATGTACGTCGACAATTGTGTGGCCAGCGTTGATACTATTGAAGAACTAAACACTTTCATTAATGTGTCGAAGGAAATTATGTCGACTGCTAAATTTGATTTAAGGGGATGGTGTTACAATGAACCTAGCAGTGAAACTTTAAAAGGAAATCCTTGCAATGAAGACTCCGATAAAACCGTATCAGTTCTGGGGTTGAAATGGAATTTATCAAATGACACTTTGTCCTGTGACTTTAAAGATAGTTCTGTGAAACAGCCTGTCAACAAAAGGAATATATTGTCAATAGTACACAGGATTTTTGATTCGATTGGGTTTACAGCTCCTGTTACTCTGATTCCTAAGCTAATGCTTCAAGAATGCTGGAAACAGTAGATTTCATGGGATAACAATTTACCTAAAAGCATTTCTGACAAATTCGAAAGTTGGAAAAATAAATTGCACAATTTGGAAAAAATAGCTATACCCAGAAGAATTTTTGCTGACTCCGAAAGAATTTCCGATTTATCTTTACACGTGTTTTGTGACGCGAGTAAATCTGCTTATGCCACATGCATATTTATGCGAAGCTGTAATGAAAATTCCGTTACATGTCAGCTCATCTCAGCTCGATCCAGAGTGGCACCTATCAAGCCGATTTCCATACCACGACTAGAGCTCTTAGCTTGTACGATTGGTGCTAGACTGGCACATCGTGTTAAGGAAGATTTGAGACTAGAAAGCTTGCCTATTTATTATTGGAGTGATTCTATGGATGCATTATTTTGGATAAAAAAGAATGAAAACTGGGCCGTTTTCGTTCACAATAGAGTGAAAGAAATCCATACTCTAAGTAATCCAAACGACTGGAATTATATTCCTGGAACACTAAATCCAGCGGACCTCCCTTCCCGAGGATGCAGTCCGGAAACCTTAGTCAAATCGAAATGGTGGGAGGGTCCCGATTGGTTGAGAAATGATCCAGAAAAATGGCCTACCTCTGAAATTGTACTGAATTTTGACATTATATAAATGCTGAAAGAAAGAAGACAATAATTTCTGCAGTTAATTCGAATGCTATGACTGAAGTTAATTTTGATAAGATTTCTTCGTACAATACCATTCTAAAGATAATATCTTGGATCTTCCATTTTGTTAAAAATGTCAGACTAAGTCCTAATGATAGAACTTATGGAACAATTACAGCGGAAGAAATTAAAGGAGCCGAACTAACTCTTTTGAGATTAGTGCACAGCAAATCATTTTCTGGATTAGATGACAAAAGATTACGTATACTTCAACCAATGATTGATTCTAACGGAATCCTTAGGGTTAAAACCAGAATTCTGAGAAGAGATGATGCAGAAAATTTTCGAGTTTCTATTATTCTTCCTTCAGATCATCCTATTGTAGTAAAATTAATTAGAGCTAAACATGAAATGAACAATCATGCAGGAGTACAATTTTTAATATCCACTTTATGAGAACAATATTGGATTTTGAAAACACGAAAGACTGTCAAGAAAGTCATAAGAAGCTGTGTTGTATGTCAGAGGTTCGATACTAGTTCTTCGAAAACACCCATTGCTCCTCTCCCTGAAGACCGAGTAAGAGAAGCAGCAGTCTTTGAGATTGTAGGTGTTGACTTGACTGGACCGTTGATATTGAAGGGAAATCAAAAATCATGGATAGTGATTTTTACCTGTGCTGTTTTTCGCGCAGTACATTTGGAATTGATTTTCTCGCTATCAACTGAAAGTTTTCTGCAAGCGCTGAGACGTTTCATTGCTAGACGTGGAAGACCCCACACCATCTATTCCGACAATGGAACGAATTTCAAAGGAAGTGATAGATTATTCAAAAGCTTAAATTGGGATAAAATCTTAGAACAAGCTAGTATCCACAGAATTACATGGAAATTTCTTCCGCCATCAGCTCCCTGGTAGGGAGGATGGTGTGAGCGATTAATAGGAGTCCTGAAAAGAATCCTTCGCAAAGTTTTAGGACGATCATCTCTGAATCATGAAGAAATTATAACAATTTTGTGTGACTGTGAAACAATAACGAATAATCGTCCATTGACATATGTCTCGGAAGATGTTGAAGATTTATCTCCGATCACACCTTCCATGTTTCTCCATGAGATTCACAAATTGGAGTTCCTGATCTGGATAATATAAATGCGAAATCTTTAAACAAAAGGCTTATTTATCGAACAAAAACTTTTACAAGATCTAAGTAAAAGATTTCGAATCGAATATCTCGGACAGTTAACAGCAAAATTATGAACATGTAAAAGCTTCACAACCTCTGAAAATAGGAGATCTTGTTTTAGTGTCCGATGATAATAAGAAGCGAACAGACTGGTTATTGGCGAAAGTAACCGAGATGGACATGTGCGTTTAGTTAAGGTCAAGACTAAGCTTGGAGAAGTTTTGCGACCAACCAAGCGTTTGTATCCTTTGGAGATAACATCATCAGATGAAACAGTCTAGATTTAGAAATGTGGCAAGCAGCTCTTCTGATGAACAAGAGACTTACTGCGATCCTGATATTCGTAATGACTTGCCTCAAGATCTTAATAGCGAAAAGATTCCATCGATGACTACAAGAAGTGGTCGAATGGTAAAGCCTGTTCAAAGGTTACAGTTTTAAATTTGATTTTTCAGCAAATTTAAAGGTGGGAGTATGTTGAAACTCTCACCGACAACCACGTGATTTGCGCATGCGCGCAGCAAAAACTAAAACAGAACTTTTTTAACTGAACTTTGAGAACTCGTGATGGACGTTTGAGTGAAACATGTAATCCTTCTCTTCTGTGTTATATATATATTTTAGTTTAGTGATGTGATTGTAAATTAAATATCTTATTATCTTAGAAGCCTCTCTCTTTCTGTGAGTAGTGCATCGATGAATGAAATAAACATTCCCGGATATGCCTTTGGATTAGAAAGAAGATCGATTAAAAGGTAAGCCTTTTTACCTTTTATTTTCTAAGAATGATCATGCTATTAATCATGAACACATTATACAATAACGTTTGCTAAGGGTAAACAAATTAGGGCCTTTTTAAACGGTGTTTTACCCAAACAGTCTCATCGAAGGAGTGAAATATTTCTTGTAAATTATGTCAATGCATGACCCGGTATCTCTCAAAACTGGAAGATCAAAACCATTCACTTTAGCCATCGTTAGATACGGGTCTAAACAATCTTCTTCAATCTCCTGGATCCTATTTACAATAAGCGGAGTTTTGATATCCCTTTTAACTTCCGGACACTGAGGCCTTAAGTGTTTGGTTGAACCACATGAATAACACTTAAGCGGTCTTCTCACATCAAATTGACGCTCATTCTGATTCCGGAGATGTTCCTTTCTGTCAGAGGCGTATCTATCTTTCCCTCCAGACTGGTGATACTTTTGCGAATCTCTTGAATTTAAATGACTTTTATTTCCCTGTTGTGACTCAGAACTATGAACAGGAGATATCTTCTTCCGGGTTTCACGTACGTTTTCATACTCTTCTATATCTGCTAATTTATCTGGAGTCGTTATCTTTGACCATTCATCAATAAAGTGCTGCCACACTTCGACATTTACATGGTGCTTCATTTGGTCCGTTATCATGAGATCCTTTAAAAGTTGAAAATCGGTAAATTCCAAACCTGCAATCCATTCTTCAAAATAATTCCTTAATTTAAAGGCAAAATCTCTCCAAGTGGTTCGAGTGTTTTTCTGGGATTCTGTAAATTTGATACGAAATTTTTCTGGACTAAGCTTAAACCTTTTAAGCAATATCCTCTTTTACGTAATCGTAGTCATAAGCCTGCTGCTCTGGTTTTCGCATGATCAGCTGAACTATGCCAGTTGGCAAAATTGTCAATAAAACCGAAACCCATTCTGATTCGTGAAGATTCACACGCTTTGCTTGGCGCTCAAACATGACTAGATACAAACTAATGTTTTGGAATCAACAATAATAAATTTATTATTGATTCCAATTAAAATAATCAAATTTTGGAATCATTTTTTTAATCTTTTTTTTTTTTTTTTTTAAATCGTAACAGCTTTTCTTAAGTCCATTTTCTTCATTAACAAAATTTACAAAGTCATTTCCATTAGCAGCTAGTAATCTTAACTTCGATAATTCAAATTTCACTTCTTCTCTTCTAATTCAATCTTGCCTCTATTCTTCTTCTCTCCTAATTCTTTCATGCCTCTCTTCTTCGTCTCTCCTAATTCTTTCATGCTCCTTTTTTTCTTTCTCAAGCCTCGATGAAGTAACATTTTCTAACAGGCCTTTCACTAGTTCCTCCTCATAGGATTCATTTTCCATAATCAGCTGTCTTAAATCCAATATCCTAAGTTCAGGGCTAAGTTTTTCCCCTAACTCTTCAGCCAAGGATTTAAGATCCTCTTTCCTAACTTTTGGAAGAATGCCATGATATGAACAAAATTATGCTAACAACCTAACAAATTTAGTTCCCTCACACTACATATAGATAAAATTGATTTAAACAAATATCATTTTCACAAAGAGAGATTAAAATTGAACCCTTTTTTTTTTCACAACATTTGTTTACAGATCTTAAACAAAATGCAAGACAGTTTACAACTATAATATGCACATTATGCGTTCAAATAAAAATTTGTCTACTTGAGGACTTATGATACTACAGATAATATTACCTCTTAAAAGCTTTAAATTCAGTTGTGTTAAACTCAATTGCTTATGATAATACAATATACTTTCATCAAAATTTGAGATATATTAAAATATGCGTTCAAAGGATAATTTAAAAAAAAACATATATCTACATACTCATAACTAAACATTAATATGACAACAGTTTAAATGAAAGATACTGGGGATTTCTAGCCTTCCCCTTTTTACTCGTCCAATAGAAATTATTTTAGTTCTTACACAACTAATGTTTTACACACCTTAACTGAAAATTCTAATATTTATAATATTCAAGATGTCTTAGAAATGAATGTTAGAATGCCATCTATCCTTAGAACCTTCAAAGTTACAGTAATTCTTCTCCTTTACACATTCAATTATATAAGCTTAATTTGAGCATAACACATTAACATTTCAGATATTAAAAAATCTATTAACACAGATTTAAATTCTAAAATTTATACTTCCTTATTGTAACAGAAAATCCAAACAGCACATTTCTTTAAACTTTACAGAAAACAAAGTTGACTTAAAACAGTTATGTGAACTTATATACTAAATTACAGAAATAAATTAAATTACTTTACTGCCTCAATATAAAAATCCAAGGTACTTACCCATCTGGATTGCAGACACCTTATCACTACACTACACATTCACAATAATCTGATGATCTTTGGGAAAAGAACACACTGCACTGAACACCATACAATGCACTGCACTAATTTTCTCAGGTACAAAGATGTTCGCACAACTATCACTTTTTTTTCTCACTACACTGCACCTTCACAATGATCTGATGATCTTTGGCAAGAACACACTGCACTGAACACACACTGCAATAAATTTCTCAGGCACAACGATGATCACACGCGTATCACTTTTTCACTGCACTACACATTCTCAATGATCTGATGATCTTCGGACAAGGCTTGTCCGCACACTTCTGCACTAATTTTTCTCGAACACAAGATGATCGTACAATTTATGCTGCTGAAGATGAGCTGTATTCAGAAGACTGTCGTTCCTTTTTATCTGGACTGTTGTCCGAGCTGTAAATCACTTTTCCGAACTGATGTTTGTAACTTTTGGTGCTGCACTTCAGAACCTGACAGTCTGTAATATCTGCAAAACACTGATGATGTTCGGACAATGGCTGTCCCACAATTTTGAGGTGAATTTTCAGAGCCTGACGATTTGTAATTTCTGCATGGATTTTCTCATCTGAACCGCTGCCACCCTTTTAATAAAGCTGTAACGTCAGAACACCCATGTTGGGTACAAGGAAAAAGAGGTTGTCTTTTAAAATATTTATAAGAAATTCTTGAATAAATATTAAAATAATTGAATCATTTCAACCATAATTCATACAAAGGCCACTGACGTGGCAACGACGCTAAAATGCATCTGCTTTCACTCGTTTACAGCATCAAAAGCTTTTACACAAAGCCCTCTCTTCATTTTTGTTACAACCTGAAAAAGAAACTTAATTAGTCCCTTATGTCCAGAACCACCTCAGGGGGTTTCTGCTACACCTTTCTTCAAAGATCTGCTGTCCATTTTGTCTCTGAACAAAACAGGAAGTTCTCATTAAGGACCTGGAAGTCCGAGGGTGCATATGTCTAAATGTCACAATGGTTATCAACACATAACATTTAGTATTTATGAGAATTAGATGTACACAGATATTTTACAAGCCTAGTTAGCTGTCAAATTTTGATAAAATACCGTAAATTAATATGAATATCATGGTGAAATATAAGATATTACAATAAACAAACATGTTTTGAACTTGATGCTTCCCCCCCCTTGAAAACATTAAAAAATGAAGGACTTGTGTCAGCCTCAAAAATAAGTTTTATTTAAAATCTATGTTAATCTAAGTTTTTTTTTTTTTTTTTTTTTTTTTTTTTTTTTTTTTTTTTTTTTTTGTTTTGTTTTGTTTGTTTGTTTGTTAATATACATTTTATATTAAAGTGCTTCCCTTTCATACACAATACATCTTTTTGATGCTCATAACAGTTGCTCAAATAAAGACGTACTTACCATGTCATTCAGAAGAACGATATATCTACCATCTTGAGTACATACTGCTTTCAATATATGACCATCAACTAATAAAAGAAGCAAAACTTCATTTTAAATAACTATTTTAGATTCATATGTTGACACCAGAATGAGAACAAAATTTCACACTCTAATAAATAAATTGTGAAATACTCATAGTTCTAAAAACAAAATTTTATACATGTCAGAAAATAAACAACCTCTCTTAAGAAAACAGATTTCATTCAAAAGCACAGAGATTTTAAACAAGATTTCCAGGAAAGGAACTTACAAGAGACATCAAGCAAGACAGAAAATTCCTGCTCCTGTGGACAGAATTCCCAATCAGCCTAAAACAAAGCAAGCACTTAAAATAAAAAAACATTAAAAAGAACAGTGATATTAAATTAAATAAATTAAGAAAAATATACTTAAAATGTTTAATATTGTTAAGAAATATATTACAAATTATTTAATAATGATATTAAAATTAAGAAATTAATTTGCTACTTATAATCTGCTTCTGATTTGATTGATCTGAAAAGTTCGGCTTTTCAATTTAAATATAAATTTTCAAAAAAACAACATAAAAAAGCACATGGCCAAATAACTAAAGAAAGACTTATCAGTATTTATGTACTTCCCATCTATTATTTGAACACACAAAAACCAAACAGTATGATTTAATATTAATAATGGATAAGCATGGCATTACTTACAGACTCATCAGATCTTTGTTTTCATTTTATGTAACCCCATTAATGCTTAATAAGCCAGCATGGAAGCTGTTTCACAGTTGTTTTGAATTATTAGAACAAAATTCAAAATTAATAAATTAATCTGTAAAACAATTACTAAACAATTAATAAATTACAAGCTCCAAAATTTGAAAAGTTTTTTAAGTAGTAGTCACCAATATATAATTTTATAGATTTTGATACTACTGTGCATGTTTAAAACCTCGTTTAACAAAATGGTATTATCAAAAGTCGTTAATTCGGACACCCATAATCCAGAATTATCTATAATCCGGACTTCAAAGCTAAAATCTTTCTGCGCATGCGCCGTGTTGACGCATGCGCATAGGCGTTTTACGCGTGCGCGCAAGACATTTACGACTGCGCATATGTGTCTGCGCAAGCACAGAATACGTTTTCGCGTGCGCGTTTAATGTATAACGGACGGTATAAGCGAAAATTATCTAATTATCTATTTCAGTTAATGTTGATGATTGTGTTGTTCCTTAATCTTCGAATTGGATCCGGCTTATTATTTTTTGCAGACTGTAAGAGCAATTTTATAAAAGTAAGCTTAAACTTTCGATTATGTCAAATAGAATTTCCTATGCTGGAGCTCCCAAAGGATCTAGAAAACGAAAGTATGTTTCGATGTCCATCAAACAAAAAACGAATTGCTACAAAAAATGGATAAAGGCATATCCTTTGTTTATCTAACCATTCCGAAATCTGTTTATCAATTTCACGCTGCTCTGCGCGCGGGGGGGGGGGGGGGACGTTGCAGCGCACAATGAACTGGAAGTTGATCTGTCAGCACTATCATTATCTTCAGGGCAGATGTTTTTATTTTATTCGGCTCATAATTCCTTACTAAATGTAGTATTTAATCTCGACGTACTCCGTCTTTGATATGATTTAAATCAAATTCCTCGTCATTATAAATATCACGAATACAAGTCAAATAGTTTTCTGGTTGCAATTTTCTAATTTCAGCTATGCGTAAGGTACGCATGCACGCGTTGAAAGAAATGTTTAATAAAGTAAACAAATAAATATTAGGCTTCTTTTTTTGTAAATTTTTATACCTTTTAGATCATAATTGCTCATTATTTTATAAATTACCGTTTCATATTTTTAATTTTATAATTTCTGCATGACATGTTACCAGATTTAAACTGAAGATCTATAATCTGGAAAAATCGATAATCCGGAATCGCCGAAGTCCCGACGAGTCCGGATTAAAGACTTTTGACTGTAATAATAACACTGCAAAAAAACACATCCCCACTTGAATTCATAGTTAGGCCAATTTATTTAGCACCAAGTTCATCAAGACTATTTTGTTACTATTTTAAAAGCCATTATGAGATTTTGGCAGCCAGAATGACTACAGTAAGTATCAGTAAATTTGGCAGATAACCTTAAAGCTTGTGCTCATACCTATTTAAGATTTTATATGATGCATTTGTAACTTATATATGTTCATTATATATCTAAATACAGAGTGAACTGTGATTATTTAACTAAATAAAAAGCCAATTATTCTCCCGAAAATCCTCCTGGAATAATTGGCACAAATTTGGCAGGATTTCTACCACCTTTTATATCAATTGAAAATATTTAAGTAAACCTTGTACAAAAAAATGGAGGAACAATTCTACTCGTATATCTCCTGTTCTACAAGGTTAATTAATCAAATTTAACTTCTGTTTTTCATGCCTTCAAAGCATGATATGTATTAGATTTATATATAGCATCATTCTAATATAGATATTTTGACACAAAATCAGACATTTTCTAAAATAGCATACCAATTTTTTTCTATTCACCCCTTGGGGGAAATTTCACAATTTCAGGGAGGAGGCAATTTTGTCAGTATTTTATATAGATGATAATTTAGCAATTTCAGTTTATGAATATAAGAAGCTACTTTTATTCAAGTTTTGATATTTATAAACATTTGGTATATTTTTGTCATTGAATTTATAAAACACATTTAAAAAAATAATCTATATCTAAATAAAAGTATACAGTCAAAAGTCTAATCCGGACTCGTCGGGACTTCGGCGATTCCAGATTATCGGTTTTTTCCGTATTATAGATCATCAGTTTAAATCTGGTAAGATGGCAAGCAGAAATTATAAAATTAAAAATATGAAACAGTAATTTATGAAATAAAGAGCAATTATGATCTAAAGAGTATCAAAATTTACAAAAAAAAAGAAGCTTAATATTTATTTGTTTACTTTATTAAACATTTCTTTAAATGCACGCATGCGTAAAGCATTCATTACGCATAGTTGAAATTAGAAAATTGCAACCAGAAAACTATTTGATGTGTATTTGTGATATTTATAATGATGAGGAAATTGATTTAAATTATATCGGAGTACATCGAGATGAAACACTACATTTAGTGAGAAATTAAGCCAAATAAAATAAAAACATCTGCCCTGAAGATGAGGCTAGTGCTGACAGATCAACTTCCAGTTCATTGCGTGCCGCAATGTCCCCCCCCCCCACAGGCCATCGTGAAATTGATAAACAGATTTCGGAATGGTTAGAGAAACAAATCACCTCTCTATCACTTTCTTCATGTCTTTATCCATTTTTTGCAGCAATTCCACTTTTTGTTTAATGGACATCGAAACATGCTTTTGCTTTGTAGATCCTTTGGCAGCTCCAGAATTGGAAACACTTTTTGACATAATCGAAAGTTCAAGCTTACTTTTATAAAATTGCTCTAACAGTCTGCAAAAAAATAATAAGCCGGATCCAATTAGAAGATTAAGGAACAACACAATCTGCAACATTAACTGAAATAGATAATTAGATAATTTTAGCCTAGCTTATACTGTCCGTTATACATTAAACGCGCATGCGTAAATGCATATGTGCATGTGTATAGGTATTATGTGTTTATGCATACGCAGAAAGTTTGTAGCTTTGAGGTCCGGATTATAGATCATTCCCGATTATGGACGTCCAGATTAAAGACTTTCGACATTATATGTATTTTTCGACTTTGAGAGTAGAGGGAGGGTGGGAATGATCATCTAACAATGGCAAAAGGGGTGCTTGGGGAAAAGCAGGTTGAGAAACACTGGTATAGAATCTTTAATGCAGGATTTAAGTGCATTCTCTTATTATTTTTTTGTGAATATTTCAAAATTGGCATAGAAATCATCCAAAGAGGAGGATGATATCTCAAAAGTTCATTTCTGAAAAAGATATAACCAATAACAAAGCAAGTACCAGTTCTTACTAAAACCATTGCATGGTGCCGTTTTAGTTATATAACATTCTATAGTTTTATTCAAGCTTGATAAAATTCTGCACAATTCACCTTAAACCAAAATAAGTGAAGAAATCCGTGTCTATATGAGATTTAAAAAAAAAAATTACATCCATCCAATGAAGCCTCTTAACTTTGTTTAAAAAGCTAGTTAATATATGCCAAAACCTTCCAAAACTGGCATGACTAAATACACTAGAAGATTTAGAAATATTAAAAAACAATGATAACACATCAAATTAAATCATCAGAGGTTAGTACAGAAAAGATAGAATAAGACTGCCATCTAATCACATCTCATCGTAATTTGAATTCACCGAGCAAAAGCAGGTCACTAAAGTCTACAACTTCTGTGTCAGACTTCCTTGTGTAAAAGATCAAGGTCATTTGATATTATTAATATGGATCTTTTTCTACTGGCATAACAGTCTAAAGCAGGCCATGCATTTAGCTCTAATGAGGTATTTCAGTTTGGAACAAATTACTAGCACAGAAGTAGCTTGGGCTTGCTTGCATTACCTTTAACACTCCAAGGGTTACGGATGTAAAATTCCCCATAGAAGGATGGCATGTCAATTTGCCACACATGAAATGTTCTGATGGCTCCTGGCAGACATAATTTAAGTTGGATGTATACTGGAAGAAAAGGAGTCAAAGTGAAAAGGTTATTTTGGAATTATGATCACGAAAGTACGACTTATTTATAATATTTCGGGGTATTTTCAAGGCTAAACTTGCTTTAAGAAGTTAAGATATTTATGATTTGCTATTTTCTTCACAGGTCTCTGGGATTTACTGAATAGTGAAATCGAAGATATCAGCTTTCTTAAAATTTACAAACTGCAGCAGAAAATTCAAAACTATGCCAGTTCCTGTACAATGAAATTACACATTAGTAAAAAAAAATTACAGTGGAAGTGTATATATACTATATATAATAAAAATTAATAGATGGAAATTATTTAAAAGTAAACTGAATCTTATTTACTAAAACAATGCAAATTATTTACCTTTAGCAAGACCTTTGTCATAGTTAGCAAGCAGCAAATGAATTATTCATAATAACTACATCATCAGTTAAGTTACCTTAATGTTCACTAAGACAAAATCTGAGCACCCAATTTTGAAATATTTTGTGTCTTTAAAACTAATAAATAACTTGAAATTTCATTCATGAACGTTTAGCATAGCGTTTTGTAATCTTTGTTCCTCTTAGATTTCCAAAAAAGACTAAAATTAAATTAAAATTAATTGCACTATAGCTAAAAATCTGAATGCTTGAAAATTATACATGGCTATCCTCTATCACACTTTCTCCTAAGATTGATATTTTATGAAATTCCTTATCAGTTGCCCTGCCTACAGACTTCTCAATGCACTCCTTCTAGTCTTAGCAACAAAAGAGAGATTTAGAGCAACATGACTCCTTATCAGCATGCATCCAAACACAGAACAACTATTAATGAATTTATAGGTTCATCCATCTCATTAATGTAAACACCACCACTTATTTAATTTTTATTTACTTAATTTAATTTTGAATTAAATAATACCATTTATTTTATTTAAATTTATTTTATTTTATTTTTATTTAATTTTTAGATAATGAGATACTAAATATTATCTAAACTCTAATATCAAAATATATCCTTGAATTATTAAAGACAAATATAAATTTCCCTCTGTTAACTTAATACCAAAATAAAACTAAATGAATTTTTATTAATTCTGGTTTTAAAATACAAGTATACTGGTAGTAATATATGATAAAAAAAATTGCTTTCAAAAGAGGCAAGAGTAAAATACTCCACAGAATACTATTTTATAAAAGTAGACCTCACTTAAAAAAAAGTTTGAGAAATAAAGATTTAGCAGTATATTTCTTTAAAAATTAAACTTTATTACAGAAGATTATTTCAATAAAAATATTTTTTAATACTTACAGCATAATAATTATCAGCTATTTCTGCAATACTATAAGAATTGGGATATAAAATGTGATCTCTAAATGTTTCTTTTTGTGCAAGCAATCCAGCAGAATACACACTGCGAAAAGTTTGAAAGGCTCCAACAATCTTAAAATCAGGATACAAATGTAGCAAGTCTATTTCTTCAACATGAACATCCTAAACATGAAAAAAACAAAAAGTAATAAAAATTAATGGACTAAACAAATAACTACAGAACAAAATCCGACATAGGGACGTCTAATATCTGTAAAAGTAAGTAATATAATACATTTTTAGTGAAATTAATGCCAAATAAAATGTTAACTTTCAATCAATTCAGTACACCTTGAAATGGCATGTACAGTTTATAAAAACTGCCCTTAAATAGAAAATAAATAACCTTTTAAAATATGGTTCATTTCTAAGCCAGACACAGAAAAGAAGTTAAAAGATAATGAACTGATCACTGAAACCAAATTTAATCTTTTGCTTCACGTGCAAATTATTCTGGTGATTAAAAATGCTTAAAATCTGCACAATAACTTAAATTACCTAACTCTGTTCTTAACCTTTGATACTGCTAGTCTTCTTCAAGACATTGAGGACAGAGCAATTAATCCACTATTCATTTAGTCTTTTACTGCCTAAACAGTACATAAAGTTTTCAGATCTCTAGAAAATCTCCAAACATGTTATCCTACTGCTTTCCCTTATTTTCAAGTACTATTCTACTTTCCGACTATCTTTAATCTGTCTCTTTTTGCCATTCCATATGAGGCCATGTCAGTGAGATCAATTGAAGTTTTATTGAATAGGATAGATAGCCTCAGAGATATGCAGATAATGGAAGGAATGAAATTAGACAGCCTCTTATTTAAGTATGTGACATGTGTGGATGGTTAACAATGAAAATGAGTAAAAAGACCATATTTTGAGCAATTAGAAATACGCACATCTCCCTAAAAAATCAGATTAGAATCTACTATTTTAAGAAAGAATTTGCTATTAAAAATTTCAAAATGGCTTTTAAATGTAAAATATAAATTTTAAAAAATATTCTTTACCAGTTATGTTACATTTGGCACTAAAAGCATTTTTAATAACTACAACAAATTGACAAATATTTATAAACATTATCAGTTGGGTTTTTTTAAAAATTAAACATACTTTAATTTATAAAAATAAACTAAGATACTTTAAAAATTAAGGTAATGATTTTATTATAAGGAAATGCATATATTGCTTTAAATTTGCTCAGTTTGCAAACCAGTAATTGATTAAGTTTGAAAGATAAACTTATGATCTTATATTGGTTCACATTCACTTTCGGATTCTTGTATTTTTTGAATTTATTTGCAAATATCTTGCACTACATATTGAAACAGAGGCTTCAGATTTGTTCTTTATTTTAAACCTTGCTTGTTGCAAAATAAATAATATTATAATATTCCTTATAATAAAATAATTTATTCAAAAAGTGTTAATCAGAAACTTGCATAATATTACAGATTTTTTGGCAAATGACGTTTCTTGTCACAATTTTTTGTTTTAAAAGAAAATAGGTCACAGAATTATCCTCTGCATTTGGTTTGGTTTATTTCAGTGTGACAAAGCACTCAAGGGCTGTCTGCCCAATGGAAAGGATGACTTCATGGCAGACTTTCTAAGGCAAAATGGCTCGTATACCCATTACACATAGAAAAAATCATGAAAACAGTCATGCAGCGAGCCCGTTCACAAAGATTCTAACCCCAGATCAAACTATCACTGTTCAGTGACTTTACCACTTAGCTGCTTATTTGCATTTGGAAATTATCGTACTATCACATTATCCACCCAACCTGAGAAAAATCACCAGGCGAAAAGCTGTGTTGCCAAAGTAAACAACCCAGAAATTTACGAAAATGGAGGTCTATAGGTTCAGCTAAAGGATTATCCAATGAAATATTGAGTGTCCTGTTACTTTCATGTTTTTATTAAAAAGAAACTTTTTGTTCAAAATGTTCAAATACTCGTGCAAGTTGATTTTCATTGAACATAATACATTGAACTAATAGCACATAATGCCACCACCTATTTTGATGGTGGTGGTAATGCATGCAGTTTTGAAATTCGAGAGTAGTTTTTCTGTTTGTTTTCATAGTTGTATGGAGGTTTTTCCTTGTAGTGAATCACAATGCCCCTTCGGAGTTTGCCTGCTAATGAAAAGATAGTTGAATTTTTTCCAGAAATATACCGTTTTGCCTATTTGTAGAAAGCATACGAATGCACTTTCTATGAAGTTAATTAGTGCAATCCCCTGATATGTGTTTGCTGCATTTTTAATTATTTAATTTGCTGCTGTTTTATGCAGTTTTGAGTTTTACATTATGGATGTTTGTTTAATGTTTCATTATCATACCTGCCAACCTCTAAAGATAAAAATTCAGAAGATTTCTCCCCCAAATTCAGAAGATTTCTCCAAAATTCAGAAGAACAATAAGAATTAATATCATGCTTTATTAAAAAAATAACAATTTATACAAATAGAAAAAAGAAAATTGTACTTACATTAGTAAATCTCAATTAAGTAGTAACTAAAAAATTTTATTAGGAAACATAAAAAAACAAGAACTTAATGTTACACAAAAAAATTATTGCAATGAATTTAGAGTGCATTTTTTTACTTTAGCCAAAAATTCTTTGGAAAATTTCCTGTCATAACAATTAGTTTCCTCATAACATTTAGCAATTAAAATGTTTTCTAGAGTTTTTGGTGAAATTGAAGAACGAAACATAGTTTTTATTTTTCTTCACAACACTGAAGACTCTCTCGCACTCAGCATTACTGTTTGGAATTACGAGAATAGCACATAAAACTCTTGCTAGTCTATCATATTTTGGTGTTCCATCAGCTCTTTTTATTCTTTTTTCAAAGAGGACATCAAGTCTATCTTCTCCAGAACTGGCAAAGTCTTCAAACTGTGCAGCAGAAAATTGGTTCTGTAGTTCATCTAAAGCATCATTATGGCATTCATTTTCTTTAATTGTTAACAAAAATGGAAATTTATCAATAAAAAAACGAATCTTTTCAAAAGATGAATTTTCAATTTGTTTCAAATTTGCACTTCAGCATTTAAAAGAACTTCATGTTGCAAAGGAAACTTCCTTACAACGTAATTACAGGCTGAGGAAAAGTACTTTCTAACACATTGAAAATATTCTTTTTTCTCATGATCTTTCAAAGAATTTACAAGTTCCCTGGTTTGATTTCCAATTATAAGATCATTGTCATCTTTCCTTTTGATTTGCCAAACTATTATAGGCAACACAAATCAACACACTGCTTTTCACAACGGACGGTTTTACAAACTTAGTATAAAGTTCTTTCAAAAGATCATTAAGAATTTGGATAAGCAGGGGAGATTTTGGTTAAGCTGATTGTAGAAGGGTATTTACACTTTCAAAAATCTTAATGGTACTTAACACAAAACTACAATATGCTTTGTTCAAATCTGAAGAAAGAAGATAGAAAATCCTTTCCTCCCGGCTAATAGAAGACTGTTTCTTCTTCCCTTCAACTTCTTTTACAAAGTTAACCTTTGAGGAGTCTTCTAAGCATTTTCTTTTTAAAGGGTTTGATTCTGTGTGTTGGCTTTTCCCTTTTAAAGCATTTTGATTAGAAGCAAAGTTGGTTTTCGGAATCTTATACGCCAACAAATTGGATGGGATCCGTGGTTTCGTTTTGGTCTCTTCGTGGAAATATTTTAGCAATGCATCCCACTGTTCAATAAACCTTCCTAGCACTCTGCCTAATGATAACCATCTCGTGCACACATGTTTCAGAATTTTTCTCGTTTCACCAGAGCACAGTTCTTGGAAATTCTTTAGATTTTCTTTCCTTTTCACCCTTTTTTCCAGATAGAAAAACACATCAATCAGAAGCTGGTCAATATTTAATGGTAAAGCAGCTGCAGCTTTTTCTGCTGTCAAATTAATTAATTGGCATGGGCATCCAATAACAATTAATTCATTTTGTTCTTTTTTGAGGAAAGAGGCTACACCCTTTTTGTCACTCACCATGACATGAGAATTATCTGCACAAATGAAATACAGTTTGATATTGGGATGTTAAGTTGTTTCAACTCATTAATTACCAAGGAGGCAATATTTTCCCCTGTAGCGTCTCCATTTAACAATGGAAGACGCAAAAGATGAGTTTTCGTTTCATTAGAAACATCACAGAAATATGTGACAATGATGGGGTAAAGCTTCCAATCGCTGTCGTTGCTGCCATCGATTGACACTGAAAATGCTGAATTCTGGAGTGCAGCTATCGTTTACTTTGTGCATCGCAAGCAATTTCGTTCACAATAGAAGATGTTTTCGTGCGAGCACAGGCATATTTCTGAGCAATCTTGGAGTTGGGAAACATCCGTCTGAAAAGTTGACCGGCGTGATCGGCAGCGCTTAGCAGCACGTTGTGTTCGATGAGGAATGCAGTAAACAAACACTCTGCCAAAATGACATCGGCATCCGAATTCGTAGCCGAATTTGAAAAAAAATCATCCACTTTCTTTGACATTGTCGAAGCCGAAGCATTAACTTCATGCTTTTTAGACTTAACATGCTTCACAATGTCGCTTCTTTCACCGTTACTTATTATGAAGTCACACACGCACACGTTGCAAAATGCATAGTTATTTCCTTTGAAGGATTCTTTAATTGTTGGAAATTCAGCTTTGTAGGCAGGCCGAAAATATTGAGAATACGGTTTTTTTTAACTCATTTCATAACGACCGCGTATTAAGAAAATTCGTAGCATGTGCAAAAAAAGAAAAAAAAAAAAAAAAAAACAGAATGCGACAATCCACGCTCGCTGAGTCCGAGCTGAGTAATTCCCTTGTTGCTGAAGCAAACACGAAAAAAATAATCTGGCGCCCACAAAGAAAAGAGAGGGAGAAACAAGTTCAGCGCATTGGATTGGCTGGTTAAGCGGCGAGTTAGGAGAAACCGCAGGTTACTGGATTCGAAGTAGTCCGTAGTTGGCGGTAAAACACTATGCAATTGGCGAAAAATTCTAAAATTTCGACAAAAATCACTAAAAACACTTGAAAAAGGAAAAAAATCGTAAAAAATGGATTACGATCGTAAAATCGTAAAGACAAACGCATTTTCGTAAAAATTACGAAAAATTC